AAATATTTTCATTATGAATTAGTTGGATTGGCTTGGATTCTAACTAGATGATGAAGTACAAATTTCTAATTTACCATTCCTGTGTAAGGTTTTAGAATGCATAGGTTGGACATCAATTACAGGCTCACATGACACCTAATGATTTGTTTAAACCATTCCAGTTCAGTTTTAACTGTGATCATAGCACTAAGACTGCTCTTGTCAGGACTATGAATGATTTACTTGTCTGACTTGAGGGCTACAAGTATCCTTATGCTCCTTGATCTTAGTTCAGCTTTTGATGTAGTAAGTCATTCAGTGTTGCTCAATCGTTTGCAAACTTTCATGTTCAATGGTCTTGATCAGGTTCCGCTCTTATCTGAGTGGCAGGCAGAGTTTTGTTTCCCCTTGGTCCTCATAAATCCCCCATGACTCCGACAATCATGGTGTGCCACAGGGTTCAGTCTTGGGCCCTTTACCTTTTATTATTTATATGCTTCCTCTGGGTCATATTATATGCAAACATGGTCTACAGTTTCATTTTTCTGCAGACGATACTCAGATTTCCATTAAAACTTCTTCCCCATCGCATCTCCTGCCACCATCACTTATCTCTTGTTTGCATGGCAACAAGCTCTTGTTGACATCAAATTTCCTGAAGCTAAATAGCACCAGAACACAAATTTTACTGGTGGATTGCAGATGTTAGCTGGATATTTTGAGAGCTTCGCAGTACTCGTGGATGTCTTCCCCATCATGCATCTGCCATAGTCAGGAAACTGGGAGACACACTCGATCCTCTCCTGTCTTTAAAGCCCCATGTGAAGAATGTGATTAAGACACTAGTTTTTACCATAGAAATATAACCCAAGTTGGGCAACTGCTATCAGTGTCCAATGCTGTGTGCCTGATTCATTCATTTATAATGTCAAGGCTTGATTTCTGCAACTCAGGGCTCCCTTACACTCCTCTTAGTAAGTTGCAAATGTCCAAAACTGCAGCTACAGCAGGGCAACTGCAGCTCACACCAGACCTTGGTGGCATATCACTCCTACACTTAAATCTCTACATTGGTTGCTTATAAACTCACATACTGTACTCAATACAAGATCCTGTTACTGACATTATAATCTGGCTCCATCATACATATATGAACTCCTCTATGTTAAAACATCCTCCATTAGGCTGCATTGTTGAAGCTGGTCCTTTGCTCACTGTACTAAGACTTTTGATGACCATGCCTTTATCTCTTGCTGCTCCATTGTTATGGAACAAAAACACCAAATTTCTTTCTCTGTTTCATTATTCACTATTAAGATTCACACACTTTATTTGTACAATACTACTTTCTTCTTTTTTGAAGAACGATAAAACAGTGTTAACTAATATTCCTGAAATATGCACATCATCTGATAGACAACTAAAAAAGGTAACATACAAAAATATTGTAAGAAAAGGCGAGAGTGTTCAGATTTTTTGTGTGGAAAATATAGCTTTTGTCAGGAGAACAGAAAAAAAATGAAAAAATTCAGTAAAACAGTCAAAATTAAAAGAAACCTGTGTATTTGTGCAAGTTTAAAACAAAATTCACTTTCTTCATTGTGTGAGAGTTTAATTACAAATGTCACAATTGTATTATCATATTTTTAATTATTAGTTTTTTAAAAATGAGCACAGAAAAATAGCCTCAAAATAACTTACTTTTTTGCAAATGGTGAAAATCCAGGATATTTTACTTTCCTTATTAAAATGAACATCTTTTGTTAAATGTCACACAAAAAAAAATCAGAAATTCTACAGTGTGACATCACTTCAGAATAAACTTCACTTTTAACTTGATGCCTCACCAAGGTGATTGAACTGTTTTCAAAAGAAGAAGCCAACGTTTTCTAGCCATGATTGAATCTAAAATCCTTTCTATACTCAGTTAAATGATTTTAAATGACAGTATAGGAAACATACACATGTTTTCTATTTCTATATAGTTAAAAAAAAATTAACTGTGCCAACATGCTTGGAAATGTTTTGTTGACAGAAATAAAATCATCAATGTTTAATGGCTGTCAAACATTAAAAGGTTTCTTTCATTCTTATAATTACAGTATATAAATTACTAAATATTTACGACCTTGATCATCGCTTAAATATTTATTTTATCTAAATCTTTTTCACACATTAGACTTAAAATAACTTGCAAATTGTAAAATTTTCAATTGAACTCAAAATGAAAGATTGGGAAAAGGACAAGTTCTATATCCTGCCAATCACTAGTTAAAGTTTGTAAATACAATTCTTTCAATTTCTTGGCATTCATTGCAGTCTTGCACATTCCACTATATACAGTAGCTGGGCAGTTTGATTCACACTCTTATAACCTAATAAACTGTAACCTAAATATCTGTAACACGCCTTACTCTTCTATGCTATTATTTATACAGAAGCTTCCTCAGCCAGAAGCATATTGTCAATTTATTCCTTAGTGAACACCTGTCTGCACAAAACACTTGTTGGTTTTAATCACACTACAATTGCCACCTCAGTAAAAGAGAGAAAGGATGTGTTTTAGAAATGTTGTCGCCATGATTACAGCAATGCTATTCAGGACCCAGATGTCCACCATTACCTATTTAACATAAAAAATCTGAACTCTTGTACTGTATATTACTTGTATATACATGTATTGTACACAGAATGATATCTGATAGATATTATACTACCATCAAAACTGTTACCCTATGTTCATTATGCATACTCTTTTCTCTGATCTTTGCTGTTACCAAAACATAATCATTTTCATATCAAGTACATTTGCTAAAAAGCATTTTAAATTAATATCCCTACTAATTATTTGGTTATCTAGGTGTATTTCACACAGCATTTTAGCGTTGTGGTAGTACAAGTCGTAAAAGTAAAAAATGTGAATGCTTTTGCTCCTGTTTGATTACTTTTAATTTGCAGACTTAGATAATAATAAATTATCATTAATTCCTCACACTTATATATCACTTTTCTGGACATTCCACTCAAAGCATTTTACAGGTAACGGGGACTGTGCACACAGTACGCTCATCACACATCAGTTATCAGTGGACAGGAGAACAGATGAAGCAAATTAATAAATGGGGATTATTAGGAGGACATAATTGGTAAAGGCCAGGGTGAAATTTGGATGCCAAGGTAACATCCTACTCTTTTCTAGAAATGCCCTGGGATTTTTAATTACCACAGAGAGTGAGGACCTCGGTTTTACATCTCATCTGAAGGTGCGTTTTTACAGTATAGTGCCCCTGTCACTATACTGAGGACTTAAGCCCCACACAGACCATAGGGTGAGCACACTCTAATGGCCCCACTAAAACCTCTTCCAGCAGCAACCCTATCTTTCCCAGAAGGCCTCCCATCCAGGTACTGGTCAGGCTCATAATGTTCCTGCTGAGTGTCAGTGGGCTGCCAGTTGTGAGTTACAGAGTGGTATGGATGAATGAATACAGCACAAGATGGAAAGAACTTATAAGACTTAATTTAGACACTTTGTTTCTTTTAAATTGCATGATTGCTTATGGAATGGTGCATTTTAATAGTATTCTTTATGCCTAATCTACAGGTTAAAAACTTTAGGAAAATATTTTCCTCCTGAAATCACAAAAACCTCACAATCATCTGCATTCTATTGGTATTTATTTTTCATTTGTTTCATATTCTTTGGTATGGTGTTCCTGCAGCATGATGTCTGTAGAAGTTAAGGAACAATATATACCATCGTGTGTGTTGTCCTGATTTGATCCTTTTGCCACAAAATATTTCCTGTTAGCTCTGGAGGTTTGGCACGTAAATTTAAATATACATCATATTTGCTGGATAGTACTGTACAGTAAGTAGCTTTACAGGTCCAGTCCCAGAGTGATTAAAGACTGACACCATCCTTTTTTGCCATTCAACAAAATTACGTGACAAACTCACAGAAAAGTATTCCAGAATATAGCAGCTTTAAAAAAGGAAGGAAGTGAAGTACTGATATATAAAACTGTTGCAGTGGGAGTGTATAGCTCTACATTTACAATCCTCAAAGCATTTTACTATACCACTCTTACATAAATTTAGCATGACTAGCTGTATCTCCTACTAAGGTATATTTTCCAATCTTAGAATCAAAGATGTACATCTTCCTGTGTTGTGTTTTAAGGCTGACTGCACCAAGTGGGCACATTTTGTATCTTTTTTAGAATGTTTTATCTGTTACTGGCAACATTAAGATAGGTGCAGTGCTATATTTGCTGTCATTTCTTGAGATTTATTGTTATTCTTTCTTACACTGCTGTGAAAAGAACAGTAATGCCAGTAAACATTTGTAATAAGTATGACTTTACACAGTTTACATTTGTAATAAGTATAAAATTATAGTCAATGAACAGAAGTTCATTCTATTCCACTAAAAACTGCTTTGTTATTGTACAAAATCGAGGTCATAAGATGACAGTTAAAAATGAAATTGAACAGTCGTTTTAACAGTATAGTTAATATATCATTTGGAAGACAAACACCAGTGTCTCAGCAGGAATTCTTCTGTATACTACAAAATAAAAATGGAATCCTCCATTTGTACAATCCAGATTACTTACCTGTAAATATTAACAAAAGCCCAAACACAATTTCTTGATAAATTAAAAGGTTCAAGTTCATGAGCAATATTCAGCAACACTCATGCAATTCCTAATTTTAAAACAGACAAAACAAGAAAGCCATTTGTAAAAAATATCATGCTGTAGGCAGAAATTACAATTCAAAACCCTATAGCAGCATATAAAGCATTACTAGATGAGAGGGTTTAGAAATGAAAAGACTCTTAGGATCAGCACACTTGGTCTGAAATGAAGATGATTCAATGACTCACATTGCAATACACAAGGCTAAAGAGCAAATGTGGCATGCTATAAGGGTAAATGAACATAAAGGAACATAAAATGTCATCCACAACAACACACTGATCTTTAAATATGGGTGCAGATAAAAAACTGAAATACCTGGACATAAAATCTGCAAGAGCGTTCTCTTTTCTGCAGCTGAAACCCCGAACAATTAGTTAGCACAGGTTATCCACAATATGTATAAATATACAGTATGTACGCAGTCAATAACAAAAGAGAAACAAAGTTAAAAACATTGCCTTAAATATTCATTGTTCTGTGCCTTTAGATAAACAGTAGGCACCAAAATTATTCTCCTCCAAAACATTAATAATACTAAACTAAGCATAATTAGCACAGGAATAAAAATATGAATCAAGTGGGGATTGAACTCAGGCTCCAATATTAATGCTATTAGGTAGTCAAGGTTGTGGTGTCCTTATTTTTTTCTGAACAACCATCACTTGTAATTCTCAGATAGTAACTTATATTCAAAGTAAAAAAACATGTAGTTAAGAACAAATTCAGATAATCTGAATTATGTACAGTAGGTTTCAACAACAGTGTTCATTAACATATAACAAGAAAGTCTATTTTATTCTGTTGTAGAGTACTTGCAAAGCCCTTTCCTTTATTGTAAATGTACATAATTTACAAATGGTATATACTTTCCCTACTACCTATAAATAATCAAATAAAACCTATGATATTTGAGATTTTATTTTTGCAGGGGATCACAATGAAATAAAAAACAATGATCAGTAGGTCAAAAATCAGTGTTCAAGTTTGATTGTCCCAGTCAAGGCTCAAACTCACAAATCTCAGAAATGTTTTTGTGTTTATGAGGAAAATAACTGACAAAATAAAAAAAGCAGAACCAAAAAGATTTTTCAATGTGGTCCTGAGTTATATCCCCACTTAAGGCAGCTGTATTCACAGCTACAAAAAATAACAGCAATACAGTTATTATAACGTGTTATTGTTACAACAAAGGGGAGGATTATGTTTCTTGTAAATCTGTCAGAGGATGATTATTTTTTCAATCATTTCCCACATGTGTTGATTATAAAAGATTCTATATTTATGTTAACGGTGGTAAGAATAATTACTTTAATCAAATGTTAAAGGGGATGGTATACAAAGGCCTCTTCCTGTTTTTGTTTCACATTTATTAACAGTTAAATAAAGGGCTGTTGGTTTTATTTTTCTTTGAAATCTCTTGTGTCTAGTGGGAATCACATTCAATCTTTACAAAACTTGAAACAAATACTGGATGTGGCAATGTTACATTTGGTTATAATGAAAAATAAAAAAGGGCATTTTCAGTTTTCCAGGCAGCAGTGACTATATAGTTGTGTGTATCAGGATTTTGTTTCACTAATTTTAATTTTCCCTGACATTCACAACAGATAAGAGTGAAGAATTAAAGAGAGACTTTAGTGGACGTTTCACTAACAGAATGTTGACTGTTTCTTTTAAATCACAGCCACCCCACTACAAAATAAAACACTTTTTTGCTCACAACTATTGCTTGAGGGGAATTTTATAGTATTTGTTTTCAAACAAAAAAGTACTTCTGCCCTTGCTGATATTGTAAGTGAATCAACTTAATTACACATTACATTTTTCTTTGTATAGATTTTGGCATTTATGTTTTGTCTGGCAACTCTGATCAGCAAAGTGGAAAATTATTCTGGTTGAAGAAGCAGCAATACTGCACTGCTCTGATTCATGCATTCTGCAATGAGTCCCTCTCAGTTGCTCCTTTAAAGAATTAAGTAAATTACCAAGCCTGTCGTCTGGTTCAGTGACTCGTGTCTTAGATTTCCATGGTTCTGTACCCACACTAGCTATTTAATGTTTACGGTCCTAAAGTTGAACTGAGTAGACTGTGTTTCCAAAAACAAGAAGCAAAAACTGAGTTAGGATTCGTTGATTCAAAATAGCTCTTCCAAACATTCTTTAGTGTTGGTTTCAATCCCACTTTATTAGTGTTGATGTCAGTACCACTTTAATGATTTTAGTGTGTTTGTTTTTACATTATAACTGATTCAAATGCAGTAAAAAATGAACATACATTATTTTTAATTTAGTTTCAGTTTAGTTTGCCTTATTCTCAGTCTCACTTCTACCAACAAAAGGTATTAAAATCTCAATGGGGCTATCTACTTAAATAATTAAAACACAGTTTGAAAAGCAATTTAAAAACAGGTGTTCATTTTCCTCTACACCTAAAGCTACTCAAGAAAATAATAGCTGACATTTTACATTTCAGTGAACTTTATTTTGCAATATCCTGTTGTAGGCTGAATGCATTTTTATAATTTTGTTTATGGATTTTAGAACTCTTACTGATTTATTGAGAAATATTACAAAGAATACAATTACAAAATGTATTTATAAGAAGAAACAGGAAGGAAGGAAATAACAATAAGCTTTAAAAAGCCATGACAGAGACATGGAAAAGGAGGAAGATTTCAGTTAATAGATGAGTACTATATATTTGGGAAGCAGTCAAACTGGGACAGAATAGGCCTCCATTTCTTATAGACTTTCTTTGTACAGCTGTTGGGGGATAAGGGGAAAAACAAAGGGACTGACTTCTTCTGTGTTTTTATGAGGCCTACAAAATAAAGTTGTTACTATTTTAATGTTACAGACAGAGAAATGTCCTGGAACAACATTTGGAACAATATCAATTAACTGATATTAAGTATTAAATATAATTAAGTTATAAATAAGTCACAAATGCTTGTGTATGCTTTGGCTAGGAGGCAAAATGTAACTTTGTTAACATGATCTGGGAATGTCCAAATCGTTAAGTTTTATAAATAGTTTTTTTTTCCTTGTTGCATATTATACACAAGGCTATTTCTCTCATCCTGTGGACTTTTGCTGAATGAAAATTCAGCGTGACCACAACTAAAAAGATGTTAGTGCCAAATCCCTGCATTCTAACAGTGATTTCATCATATTTATTAGGGTCTACAAGTTAGTTGCAGTTCAGAAAGTCAAATAGTTATTACACCATGCCCCCAATGTAGTTGGAAGCAAGGTATACCAATGGTTGCCCAGGGGCAATTAAGTGCCTTGTTAGGATTGTAACAAATGCAGGGTGTCTAATATCTTGAATAAAACCTTGAATAAAAAAAGAGTGCTGCTTGCTATCCCAAACAGAGCCATAAGAGGCAGATGACAAATGGATAGCTGTGGTATTTGTAACAGTTTTTAAAATAAACTGTTAAGAATTAAAATGAGAGCAGGTTCGGGGTCCGAACATGTGAAAGAAAAGTAGTCAGGACAGGTTTTCTTCTGTCATAAGTAGAATCAGGCATGGGTTTTGTGGAATTTATAAAAACACATTTCAGAACATTTAAAGTTAGAAAAAGTATATGTTGACAATTTCAAATTGCATGAACTCATGTCTAACACAAGCAGAAGATAAATTGAAAAGGGACAGTTTTGTTTCCCAAAACTCATCTTGATCTAAATGTTGTTCCCATAGCATCTTCCAAGATGAGAAAAAATGTTCTAATGTAGGAATAATATTTATAGAGCAATTACTGTAGATCAAATTTTGAGATCAAATCAAGGAGGTAACAGGGAAATGGGACATGTGTTGTAAAAATCCTGGATTTGTACAGTAGGTAAATCTTGTAGCTAACTAAATATGTTTGAGAAAGCTGACATTTTTTGTAAGAGACTATCAAATTCATGTACTGTATGTATTCATGTAAGTTTCAATGTAGGTATCTAAAATGTATCTCTGATACAGTATATCAGTCACCACTCATGGAAAGCAGGGAATATAGAATAAGTGGTTTCTGTAGGGAGGAGACAACATTAAAGAAAACTATGGTTCAAAATGACATCTAAATTGTATGCAGATCCCAATTGAGGAACTCAGTAGTATATTAGTGGTGTAGTGAGAAATAGATAAGGCAATAGAGGAAACATATAGAGTAGTGAGAAACAGATAACGGGAGATATCAGGAATTCTGATTCCTAGAGACTTAAGAGTACAGGTTGAAGAACAGGAATAAAAAGTGTAAACTACCTTTTTTGACTATATAGAAAAGTGTGATTTGAAAATTGGGCTTTACATTTAGCCCAATGCACATATATAGCAAACTGAATACTGAATCCGATCAAAGCACAGTGGGTGAATGAGATTATAACCAATACCGTTTCAGCATTTGTTTAAAGACCATAGTGAATGGAGGGAATTTTATATTTTGCAGACACATTTGTGATGCAGTTTTTGGCATCTTACTCTTTGTGCACATTTACAGAATAGGTCCCCTTATGATTTATGCAGAGGTGTCTATTCTGTGCTGGTGCCTTTTCCTGAACATGTGCCAGTGAAATATATTTTTAACGTAGAGAAGAGTCTTAGTGCTTCAGGCAAGTTGTGCTAACCTTTCAGATCAACCTGAAGTAGCTGGCACATGTCAGCAACCACAGTTGTCTGTTTAGGCAATATTGTTGCATATATTGTATCAGACAGGCTCAGAAAAGAATAACAAATTCTAAATATTTGGAGATATCTCGTCCTCCTGTCTCTGCCAGGTCAGATGAATCGAAAAATGTCTGTTTGGCCACATAAAGCACCTGACTTTGATTAACTATCCACAAATGTTTATAGTTGTGTTAAGGTTTTTTAAAAAGAAAAAAAAAACTAAAGTAAAAAAACTGAACATTTTTCTTAGGAATTAGTGTCAATACAGACATTTACTGCCCAGTGATAAAATTGAAACCTTGGCAGCACGAGAAACCCTATTGGTTCTTGTTCAATGGATATTGATAAAGGCTTTCTTGGGTTCAATGAGATTGATAAAACTGCAGCAGAAGAACTCTTTAAATTTGCCAAAGACAAAAGACAAAGACATGTTAACTAGTTGTTAATTTGATTTTTTTAAATGTTGTGTGATACTTAATTGGGGTTAGTAATATCCTGAGCATCAGAGATAGAGTGCAGGCAGGAACACATAAAAATAAACCCTATGAAATCTCTGCTTGTTAGTTGTCTTCCTCCCTAATTTGTTTATGTACTGTAGAACAAAAGTGTAACAAAGTATAGAGATTAAATGATAATCTATGGTTGTCTTGTATGAGAGATTTGACAAAGAAAGCTTGGATTTATTAATACAACTTGAGGAATGGTTAACTGCGGAATAATCAGGAGAAAGCATCCTATAAAAGCTGCAACAATTTTACCTTTTCAACATGATATGATTTTGGATATTGTGCTCGTTAGATCTTAATGTCACACAGCACATGTTGTTCTTCATGGCAGATCCTAAAGCTTGTTTTATGTTTCCTGAACTTTTAAGTAAGTAATGACATGTAGAAATGAAATATCTTTCTGTATATTACTGTACGACACCTAAAAAAGATCAGTAGCGATACAAGCACAACTGAACAGCATTGTGGTGCTCCATATTTAGACTATACTTCACTGAGCATTGAAGATTCAGGAGGTAATTTCATCAGAAGGAGTGCAATGTGGAGGAACATGTTGTCCTTAACAGTATGAAGGCCTCATTAATGGCAGGGAGTGTATTCATCTCATCATAGGGGTTGGCCAGTGATAGCAGCAGTTACATATTGAAAAGAACATTTTGACTTGGGTTCTAAAATCTCATGATTGTACCATTTTTTAGTAAGGTTCCAGGACTTTGTAACCAAGCTAGACTAAACCTGGAGCCAATTTTTTAAAGTGCTAATTCCATGGTAGCCTGTAGTTGATCAAAGTTAAGCATATTTTCTGTATTTTTTTTTCTTCCAGATGGAAAAGAAGGATCAATTTTGAAAAATATATGACTATGAATATATTTATATTTTACTCATAGATTCTTTTTTTGTGATTCACATAAATGAAGCCTTAGAAGGCTATATTTAACTGCACTTCATGAATTTCAGGAGCTTATTTTATCAGCAACTTAAAATAAAATGAGAAACATTATAAATAAGAAGAGGCCACTTGCAATTGCCATTCTGGTGAACAGTAGTTCCCTAAGACGCCGATAAATTGGATTTTTCTTCATTTCAATGTTCTACAAGATATGAGGCCATTATGCAAACAATCCCATTAATACATTAAGAAGAAGAGGAAGCAGATGCTACTAAAAGGCAGTAAAAATGTAGGATGTGTGAGGTGAGGTGAGTACTGCATTTCGTTAGTGCGGGTGAGACCTACCTTGTTTAAACTTCGAGCTGCACTGTCTTTTCCACCAGGGGTGAGGTTCCTGAGCTGCACATCAAGCAAATCCACCAGCTGGTCCATGGCCTTGACTGTGTAGGAGATATCCCCTGCGTGGATTTGACTCTTGGTCTGCTCTGAAAGCTCCCTTGCAATGATGGCTGCTGTTTCTCCTGACCTCAGCTTGTCAGAGACAGATAAATCAAGACCTTTAACATATGCCTTTTGAAATAACATTTTGGGCAACTTGTTTTATTAAATCAAATTCTGATCAAAGGTCTGTATGATCTACAGAAAGAAATAAAGGACTCTATCCTCTGAGCCTTTTCTTGCTGTCTGTAATTGATATCAAAGGAGGAAAAAAGCCTATTAGTATTACATTACGGTATAATTACAGCAATTTCTAGTCAACCCTTGAGCTAAACAAGCAGTAGTTTTGATCGTACCTTTGTAGTAGCAATACTCTAGCAGACAGATAAAAATGTAAAATTATATAAAATAACTTTCAATTAAACCTGATCCATCTATAATTATAACTTGTATTCATGCTGTTCTTCACCACCAAACTGACAGACCAGGTTGTAATGTTCATGTATGGTAACAGATTGCAGGTTTGTATTATATTTTTAGTTTATTTACAAGGTTTACCTTAAAATAAAAATAACATTTCTGCATTATAGTCACAGAAGAAACAGAAAAAGGCCAATCTATACACTTTGAATTAAATTATCAGATGTATTTGTTTATCATTTTAGTCTACTAAAATATAAAAATAAGCTTTCAAGTATATTAATACTATTACTGTATGTGCAGTACTATACAAATTACCATACAAACCTCATTTTGTCACATTTGTAAACATGAAAGTAGTTTAATTGCTTCAATTGTATGACTGTTGATCAATGAAATGTAATTTTATTTGTTACTATTTAATTTTTTAGTGATAAAATACAATGACCTTTTTTACTATTTCAACACTAGATGTATACTTTTGTATTGCAGAAATACAGCTCTCTGCATATGGAAAAGGGGCTGTTTTTACATTCTATCTTAGCATTAAATAAATACGTCTCATAATGTAAAAGAAAACAAAATTCATTTAAATATTCATTCAAATATTATAACTAGTTTGTAGTACTCTTCTAAAGTTCTGTGCATATGATAAGTTAAACATATATATAGTACAATATTTTAAACTTAAGTAAAAGTCTGATGCTTGTACAGCATGAATTCAGATGCAAAGAGATCATTTCTCAACAGCAGAGTTAGGCATGCATCTTATAAATAGGATTTTCTGAGATTACATTTTCAGCCTCTCAAGAAAAAATGTTATCACACAAAACCAGCAGCATGGATGTGGTACATTTCTGCGTGCATGAACCCATTGGTAGTATCTGAAGACATTCAGCTGTAAACTTACCACATGGGTGAAACGAAAATCTGATGTAATATACTGAAGGTTTTTACCACTCAACTGAACCACTTACTAGAGGATGATTTTACTTTCACCAGCCTAATTTGTAAAATGCAAAACCAGACAGCCATGAGTAAGCAAGCAGTTTGTTTATAAGTTTAAAGATCTCAGCTGTGATTGTGATTAAATTTATAGCTTCTTGTTTTAAAATAAAAATTAAATTGAACTACGCATTAAGCAAAATGAAATGGTATTTACTGAGGATATCTAGACTTCTGTGATATTCTTTGGGGTTCTAGCATTTTTCAGAGGGGAAAGTTATGACCGCTCCTCCATTCAGAAGTTCTTCAATTTCCATTAGTAAACTGTCATCTTTAGTTAGAATCACAAATGTGCATAATAGATTGAGATCTGGAGATTAAGATGGCCGGTCAAGAACATTATTTTACGCGCAGTAAACCATTCCTTTGTTGATTTGAATGTTGACTTTGGATCATTGTCATCCTGTAACGCTTATTTTCAGCCAAGCCTGAGGTTGGCAAAATCTCCTGGTACATGGTTGGAGTTAAAGATTTTGCCTTTCTTGATAACGGCACCTTGATGCATAAATGCAAAACAACCCCAGAACTTAACATACCCCCCACAACATTTCACATTTTTCAGCATGAAAAAATTGAATTTGAATGTTAGTTTTCGACACTTTGTATCCTCAGGGTGTATTGGTGATCTCCAGCTATTGCCTTTGGAATTACAGTTGCCTTTGATTTGTTTCACATTCCATGGTTATTCCTAGCACAGATGGGACCTTACCAGCAGCCTTAAATTCTAGAAATGTATACTACAGTAAAAAGTTGTTAATTCAACTATATGTGGAATATTTTATAGCGATACCCCAACTCATGGAGGTTAATGGCCTATTGTTTGTATTCTTCAAAGAGCTCACTGACATTACTCATGATGATCCATGGTACTACAGAACAATTTTCATCTATTGCCTCCTTTCATCTCCCATCTTACTTCCAAAGAGCAGAATATTATTTAATTTATTTTTTAATTTTAATTTTTATTTAAAGAGATACATAAAGGTGTGAACAAACGTATTCTTCTTGACTAATTTATGACAAATATAAAGTTTCTGAATTTGCTTACAAATCTCATTTTATACTGTAATCATAATATGATAAACTTCTGCTACATAATGCTTATTGTTCCTTTGTCATTGGGAATTACATACTTACTTTCTGTGTTATCTGATTGACCCAGGGAGAAGTGCAATTGCTGAGATCTGGTCCTTGTGGGTCCCAGTACCCATCAGGTGCCAGGCATACGTAGGTAGCAATTCCTGAAAGAAAGATAGGCAAGGGTAGAATTGACATTAACGTACAGTAAGCTTAATGTTTTTTGAAGTGCCCTAAATTCAGGATAGGCTACTACACAGCTGCACTTATGAAACAAAGGCAGCTCTTCACATGTATGAGTATGAACATGGAGATCACGCTCCAATTATTTAGGACCCGAGGGAAAGCAGTATTGCTGTTTTGTAACACTTGATTCGAATCAGATCTATCTTTACAATTCATGTTTCTTCTTTTCGTTTTCTAATGAAAGCTGATATCTGCTTAGCTGAAGCCAAATACATTGGCTTTAAATTGTGACGATTTTGGTGGAGAAGTAATTAGCTTGAATTACTTTTAAATTTAATCCTATTAAAGTACATATCACACAGGGGGGCTATTTAAATCTCATGTGTATTTCTACGTTTTTGCTCTATGAATAGCTTGATTGTAATTATAAAAGGAGATCAGCTGCAAAACATCCTTAATATATTACAATTATAATGTATATAAAGTAAAGATATAGGAAACAGATCTTCAACTAAGGATTTGTTTTCTAGAACTGTACAATTTATTATAAAAGGGTCAAAGCTTAGTTCTCTTAAGAGTGTCAATCTCCATTTTGTAGTAATTTAGTTGCAGAAAATCGTTATTGCAGTTTCAAAAGTAATAGATATTTAGCCTTTATTTTAAATCCTTTAGTTGCAAATCATCTTTTAAGCAAATTTTGGGAAAATATGCAGTATTTTGGGAAAATACAATTTCTGTTGGGATACACTGGTTCCATAGAATTGTTTTATGCTGACCCAATACTTAATGAAAAACCATGTCTCAAACACAGTAAAAAGAAAGAAGGTTAATATTGTTTTTTCTTTAAAAAGCTCAATATCTTGAAACTTCAGCTTCTGAGGATATAAAAAAGATTCATGAAATATATCATTAATAAATTAGCAAATGAATAAGAAGAACAATTATTTTATCCCTTTGTATTTTAAAATAAATATATGGGGTAATATCAATAAATAAATACATTTTAATCCGATTTGATTCAGACTGCTGTCCATGTACTGTACACCTATGTACACCTTGTACCAATAATACTACTTGTTCTATGCTTATTAAGTTACTGTATGGATTAGTGAAAAATAGTAAGAACCTCACAATGTAATCTTTGCCTTTTCATCATTCATGTGTGACCTACCAAACAGAAAGAATACATTTCAACAACAATTAAGGTTCCTATTTCTTTCTGAAGTGTTTTAGAACACTTTATACTGTAGTTTTGGACTGAGACAGGTTTACATTCCACACTACCTCTGTGATCTAACATAGCATAAGAATATGACCACAGATGCTTCAGAGGACTGCTGTAAAATCTGTAAATGATATTTATAGAACTGCACCATTGTAGAGTTGCCTCAAGTACCAAATCACTCAAGAGAAAAACAAGGCAGTGCTGTGTGGTACTGTTATCTTGTGAAATGCTGCATTCATCTTTGGTTTCTTTCTGTAGATTTGAAGTGGCTTGTTGAAACTCTGCCGGATGAAAAGGCTGAACAATAATCAGCCATGGTTCAGTCATGATATTTTTAGTTGTGAACAATTCCATGTCTTAATCATGATTACCAAGCGGAAAAAAAACAGGTCCTCAGAGGAAACAAATCACCTGGCCATAATGCTCAACAGTTTTTCAAAAAGCATTTTTGTTTATTTTAATACACCATAGTGTTGCTTAAGCCCTCGGTTGCTAAATTATTGCTTCAAATTTATACTGTTAAATTATATTTTTTTTATTATTTACTTTTTATCCGAGCTTAAAGGATATTTACATTTATTTTTGATATAATTACATGTACCTGACTCTTGTTCTACTGAACTGTGACATAGAACACAGTTACAGTATACTGTATTTGCTGCACAGCTTATTACAATTATGTCCTTCTTTTTGTCTCTGTCTCTCATTGCTGAAGCTCAGGTTAGTTCACTAGAAAGGAATGACATAAAAGAGTAGCTTTCTAATGAAATACAGTTTACAGGATATGAATTATAAACTTGAGGGGCTCATATCCTAAGGAATGTGTATATTAATGAGATCATGTCTGATCTGAAATCCAAGCTATTTTGTTTTCCAAACAGCTAGAAAATGCAACAGTTGATGTAAAATATAGCAGTAAAATTATTATACTTAAATACAACAAACATAAGACAATCGCCTTGAAGAAAGTTATACTCAAGGAGGGGTTTCTAATTCAGCTTATGTAATGGGTTATGTAATAATGTTAATCTGCATGTTAAATTTTGAAATTCCCCAGATCACAAAATGCAGAAACAGCACTCCTACAACAATCAAGTCAATGTGTGGTAATACACCAGTCTTATTCTTGTAATAAGCGTAACTTTCAATATTGTTACATGGACAAAAAAATGGTATAATTTATTGGGCCTTTGAGTTATTTCATTGCAAAAATATGTTTTACTATGCCTTTAATTTCTGTGAAAAGCATAACAATGATATCTTTCAGTAGCTAATTCCAAAGGCCCACCTTGAACTGACAGGGTCTGCATGTACTCTATGAATGACTGAAGAGATTAAAACTATATTCACATAAGCAAAATGTTTCTGTTTTAAAAATACCTCACAAAATTAATTCATGTAATTTATTTTCTTGAACAAGTGTTGTGTTAACAATCACCATTTTGCTTTGATAACATCCAGCTCTGTGACAACAGGAATAATACAATAATGGAACATAGTCATGGTTCAAAGGGATATACTGTAGGTGATCGACTGATTTTTAACACAAAAAATCTAAACAAAGGGCAGTCCAGAGGTACAGTATATTGTAAAAGCAGAGCTCTGTACCATGATGCAACAAAGTATAAGTGAGTTCTTACTAAAAAACATAACTTAAGCGGTTTGTCAAATATTGCCAAGAAATTAAAAATGCTATCTATGGACACAGGTAACATCAAATGTAATTACTAATCAGTTTAGCATTCAAGAACCACTTGATTTTTTATCAATTTTATCTTGTGTTAATATGGAAATCAACTCAGTACATCCACTATATTGCCACTCTCCTCTCACAATAGTAATTTTATGAAGCACTCTTGGCTAATAGAGCATTCAATATCTCTCAATCCAAATCAAGAATAAAAATGTACTTTTTTTTTTTAGAAGGAGAAGTATTTTGCAGAAATCAAAATGCAGATTAATCAAAACAGTGTCATAATTGTGCTTTTTATTTCTTATCCTCTGAGTTTTTCATATTATCAATTGGCTATGTCTGAAGCAGCATGTTCTTACCTATGGTTCCTGCAGGACATGGCTGCTTCGCAACCTGTCCCTGATGCGTTTTGGGCCAAGAAATGTCAGATTCTTCTAGCGGGTTGCAGTAGTCTGTGCCTATGTTTGGGAGCTGGGATGATGGTGCTGGCCGTGTGACAATGTCTAGAATATCTCCTCCAATGGGAGCCAAAGTGGTGGTGCTCTTGGTACGTCGGCCTGCTGTGGAGGTCATCACTGCTCGGGAGGTAGTAATTGGAGTGGATCTTGTTGTTGTCCTTGTTGTGGTGGTGTCCATGTATATTACCACAGAAGAAGATGATTCTATGGAAATATGAACAGATGAATTAAACAAGAAATGTCCAGAAAAAAAAACTGCTGCCACTATCACAACGAATGGCAACACTAGGTTGCAGGTAACACTGTCACTAAGAATTTTAATATATTTTTTTTATTAGAGTTCACCCACGTCTGCAGGGAAGATTTGTCATATCAAAACACTAAAAGAAATGCAGCCTTTATTTCCCATGTCAGCCTATGCTGAATTTGTTCATTTTGAATCTATTGAATCTGACAGGTATCACTTGGCTCTGCATGTTCAATTTCTGCAGTTACGCTGGTGTATGTGTCCAGAGATAAAAATAAACTAAAAAAGAAAATAATTTCATGTTTATGAATTTTGCTTTTACTAGGAACTGCTTTTCATACAGAAATCTAAGTTGGGAAATGAATAAATCAACAAAGAATGCATGTTGCTGTGTCTTTTCTATGAAAATATTCAATGCTTCATAATTTTGCTAACCATTCAAAGACAGCATTGTTTTCAAACAGAGAAATCCTTCCTCAGGCACACTGCAGATGCTAAAGATGCCTGGCCCCTCCCCCACTAGCATCATGCTACAAATCATCATCAATCATTTCAGCTACAGCTTGGATCCTCCTGTGTTTCTGATTGGAAATAAGGGAACCAAATTAGTTTTGTTCCAAGGGCATTATGAATCTGTGTTGTGTTAGGGTGGTCTAAAACTCTGCTACAGGGCACTGGAGAGGAAACGTCAACCTTCAACTGTGACAAGCAAACAGGATGTGCTAGCTGGGAGCAAGAAACAAAACAAAGCAATAACAAAACAAACTGAGAAGGCACAGTAAATTAGAAACTTTAAGTCAATCTTTCAGGCACAACAGGGTTTTTGTTGACAGAATGGTTTTCAGGAAATAACTTTGGAAACCAAGGAATGTCATATAAGTAAACACTCCCTTTGGCTATTCCATTACAAAAAGACCTGCAAGAATCTTTATCAAGTTGCTCCCTCTCCATTATAAACTAGCTCAGTTTACTAAGCTGTTGGAAACTTTTAATCAAAATAACACTTTTCTTTGATCACAATATTCTTGTCTTATTACTTTAACTATTCAGGTTACTTTATTATACTGTTTATGAAGTAAGATCTGTGCTTACGAGACAGAATTCTGAAGGAATTTCAAAATAATATAAGTAACACATATTTGAATGTGCCAAACAAGACCATGGGCAAAATCAAGGTACTATACAACCAAATTATAAAATGTGTATTTGCAAAGAGGGGAGCCAAAAATATTGTCTTTAGATTTAATATTCTATTTATTTTAACATAATGTATATATGTGCATGTATGTACACACATATACTGTACATATGTACACATACGCATTTGTATTTATATATGTATGCAAACATTCATATTTGCTCTGATGAAACAACAAGTACAATAATTATAGAGGACAGCTTGCACTGCCTTTTAAGAAAGTCTTCAAAGAAAGAAAGTTCAAGTGGGACCATAAAGATTTTTTTTTTACATTAGTACAAAACTTAACGTTTGCAGTAAATACTTTATGGTAGATTGCTTGGATACAGCCAAATCTCAAAAGTATAGCAACATTGAATTTCCATATGCAAGTATGATGTTCATACTGCCTAACTTTCCAAAACACAGTAAAAAAAAGACAACAAACACATTAAATTAACTTCTGAAGCAATGCAAAATAATTGTTCTTAAACAGTCTTCTGAATAGCTAGAGATAAAGCTGATTTGGTTTGATTTGTAGTGAAATAACTCCCCAGTAGTTTGATGGAGTTGAAGGAAATATTGAAAGTATAGAAAGAAATTCTACAAGATTACAACAATTGAAAAAAATAACATTCAGTTGCATGGAGTATCAAATGTAAAACAAGATCATGAAAAATAGAAATCAAAGTATAATAAGCATGTTAATCATTAAACATTAAAAAGCCGGTATATTTTTATAAAAGCAAGATTGCTCAGTTGGACAAAAGTACACAACCTTCCACCTTCATCATAAATATTTTAATTATGCAGAAATATTTTATGCATCAAAGTCTTTACGGAAGACATCACTAATAGTATTAATAATGAATGACCTTGGACAGGTTATAAACTCAAAACGATAGTGGATAGTTGCTAAGTGTCTCTCATGACAACCATGTGGCCTCAATGAACTGCTGCACTCCATGAAGGTACACGTCCCACCATCTTTTGGCAAACAGCCCCAGGAACATAGTGCCATTCTTCCCAGAGTGCAGCTTCTAGTGAAGTGAGAGAAGTGTTTCACTGTTCCATGTCATGACAGAAGTTCTCAGTGGGACGAGGCTCAGGAATGCTTTCCCAAAGTTCTATCCCTGTACTGGCAGCACTTTAGCTGTCACTGTGCACTAACAGTTCTTCATTGGTGTATGGATGGCTGGCCTGCCATGATGTCCTTGTGAATGTGATTACCTTCATACGTAAGACAGATATACAAACATAACTGTGTGACCTTTTCTCACCACAGTTTTCTCACCACATATCATGGTTTACCATGCCAGGTCATGCCTAATCTGGCTGGTGTGGATTCTACTCTGGTATTTACCATGACTTCCTGCTTTTGCGCAATAATCTTCACAGTGTTCAGCAGGACACAATAATCTTACAATATGCAATATGTGCAATATGACAACTAATCTTTTAATTGCCACACTTCTACCTGGCAGGTAGATATAATACTGGCAGGCACTACCTGTAACAGGTGGTAGACTGTCTTCTATTTATTTGCCTTTAGTGCATTCTTCCCATGAAAACTACATACTATATTGCCTCTTATGTTTAATGTCCAGTACATTTTTGCTAGATGATATGCAAACAGTAATATTTTATATAGCATGTTTTGACAAGTACTTAATTGCAAGTCCCTTTCTGTATATGATTAACTGCTAATGCAAAGTATTTGCTTGTGTTTGTGGTCATTCTTTTCTTCAAACCTTTTAGAACTTGAGCACTGACTGCATACAATAATCATCACGCAAAGAACCGATTCTAACTTTTGTCTGCTCAAAAGCTTCTCAGCTGAAATAATAAATGATTCAAAGGAAATGGATATATACTGTTTGTCTTTCCCCCGGGATGCTAAGATAGGGTCATTATTTCTGTCTGTTGCTTCTGCCCTTGCCTGCATTGTAATTTAAGAAGTCTGTTTTTTTGTACACATATATGATACATTACACACAGATAGGTGGTATGAGGAAAATAAATCACAGAATGAAGTTTTCTTGTATCCCTTCTGCGCTCTTCGCTGGTGAACAAGACAAAGACACTATGTCCTGAATCTAAAAACAAACCTACAAAAAATGTCACACATATTGCCCCTTTAGTATTTTGTTAATCAAGACTTATACCTACAATGTTTCTTAATTCTCAAAGCACCTTTTCACAGTACAATTACAACAACTGTGCATATTCTAGTGCATAACTAACTCCTAAACTACTAAAATCTTCCAAGACAGTTTATCCTTCCTACAGTCATAACCTTCTGTAATTCAAATCCAGTTTATAAACACAAAGACTCTCAACTCTGTTAATAATTAGTGCACAACACAAATAAAAAGTGTAATGTTCTTTCAAACTCTTATTTATGAGTAAATTAATGACCAGAACATAACTTTAAGGTAGAATAGTAAAGAGTTTATATTGACTGAAATATTATTATTATATCATAATAATCCAATAAATTAATAAATGTTATTACAATGATTACATATATTTTTCTTTTAAATGTACATGTTCAACCACAGTCTACAATGTTGCAGGATAATGAGCCCTTCATTGAGAGAATGGGCCAAACCCAACCATTGATTAAATACAATGAATATGTAAAACCAAAAACATATATATACCTTTGCGACAGGATGGAAGAGAACAGAGTCATAAAACCTCCAATTTGAATCACAACATAGAAATTTACTACATTTGAGTCATCACAAATAAAGGTGGGATGTGACGAGCTTTGATTAAGGTGCACGTTGCGCACAACCTGTCACCTCATGAAGATGGAAATATCTGAACCAGACAGGATGAGAAATTCTATAAACTAGCTATAAAACTTAAAACTAAAAGTCTGACAACTTGGCAGTCAATTTCAGAGAGTTATGGTCTATGTAGGTGGCTATTTTTATATAAATTGAGAGGAAAGTTACATTTAGAATCCATTCTTTTGAATAAAATGGCATGTGGGTTATTTTGCATGCAAAAGCTACTACTAGCCTTTTAGGCCTTCTAACTTAGGAGTTCAGGGGTGGTGTACGATTCTGTTCATATGTGAAACTAGTGTCAGTCTATGGTCAAGCCAATGACAATGAACTTTTGACAATTGGAATAAACATTCCAATAGTAGTGTGAAGTAGAGATTATGGCTCTGAGCTCATAAAGGGAAGGTTGAGTGTTTAAATCCTTGTGGGAGGGGATCAAAGACCTCCACTCAGATTGCTTCAGTGAAATACACTGAAGCAATCATTTATGAACGATGATGACAAAGACATGTCACCTGGGATAAAAATCTAAATAAATTAATAGTAATAACAACTGACATAACTGAAAGAGGTTGAAAACATACTGTAGGCACGAAGGTGAATGTTGATGGAACAATGTTGCCTTTTTGGTCAAAATGGCATGGAATTTGATTTTTTCCCAGTACTGCTCTATATATACACCAAGAAGCATAAAAACACAACAAAATAGTATTGTTTCCAATAGTCCTTTGTTGTGTATTTAAAGTTCATCAGTAAGTTTACCTAACCTGAATAGTTAAGTTATATAAATTAACAATTGTACAGTAGGTTCTGCACAACAGCTAATATACAGTGTTTCCCTACTTCACTATCTTTTATATCATCACTTTGATGAAGACATTCAGCCTACTGCAGTATAATTTGCCTCCCCTGCATACTTATTTGCAAATTCTTTAATCTAAGCATTTAATTGTTCACGTTTTGGTGATACTGTATAATACCCTAT